AACACATCAGTACCTTGCAAATACAAATTTTTACGTTCATTCTTTTGACTAAAGTTTTATGAATAATTTTCAATATAGTTACAGAAAAGATGCTCAGGAAAGAGAGCAGAGTTGAATTATGTGAAAATGTAAGCAATTCGAAGGAGAAAATTAACTTGATGTCTCTGTTAGAGGCCATGCGTATTATAGTTAATACAGGAGTTAATCTCTTTAAATCAGTTTAAACTGCTTTCAGAAATGTTGGTTTATGTAGAAGAAGCCTTAGTGGGATCGCAAAGTATTGCTATTGTTTCAGACATCACAAAGGAAAGTTATGAAGATTCATTTTAGAATATGTGTTAGTTCTCAGCAACATTGAGTTAACGAGTGGAAAAAATGAGTATGAAAACTGACATGCCAACATCAATCAAATATAGAAAAGCACTGCAGATTCTAAGGAAACTCTTGAACTGAAAAATTCTGATGCCTTTTTTTAAGACCAAAGGGGATTTAGTAGGTGCTGCTAAATAGCTAATTTGTTTAACTTCACAAAATATTTCTAAATATTTACTAAACCTCTTACTAAGCGACCAAAGCCACTCTCTATACTAAATTTAGTTTCAAGGGTTCAGAAGCTGGTCGTCACTGATATAAAAGATGATAACGAATTAAAAAGTGCGAAAATAAAAAGGAAATTATTAATTTATATATTATTCTTAATTGAAGTTAACATTTATCTTAAGAACTTAGAAAAACATGGGTAACTATTTCAACGGGCAGATAAAAATCCTTAATAGTTAACATTTTATGATTTATTAATTTTTAATATGTTATGTTCCTATAGCTATAACTAATCCATGAGCAATTGTAGAAACAACTGTGTCATTTTGTATTAAGACTGAAACGATTATCTAGCTGAGATAAGTCAAAAAGGAAAAAAATGAAAGTAGTAATACATACACGTCTAACATTTATTTTAAATTTCGAGCTAATAATAAAAATTTTATATTTTCTCTTTCTTTTCTAGTATATCTTCGTGGCGTAACGGTAGCACATTTGGCGCGTATTCCAGATGGCCAGTTCGCCTCCTGGCGAGGGCATTTTTCATTTTTCAAGACTTAAAAAACTTAAATACTCTACAACTTGAAGTAATTATTTTAAAAACTGAAATTAAGTGGAAAGCTGCGTTTTATAACTATAATTAAAATATCCAGATAGAATTATAAATATTTTATAGAATGTTATTAGTAAACATTTGCAGTGTTTGCTATTTATTAACGTTTTCAGAATTCTGAATTCACAGGCGATTAGATACCCCAAAAATATTTGGTGTTCGAGGATAAAATCTTCAGTTCCAAAATAAAAGATTAAATGCGTTTAAGTTTAGATGAGAGTTTTCAAATTATTATATATATATATAATAATATATATATTATGTATGAATTATAATATATGTATATTACATATAAATTATAATATATATATATAATAATTTTGAAATTTTTTATATATTTCAAAGTATCATATATAAACGTTTTTAACATAATGCACTTGCTTCATAAAGGTTGTAGGCGAATAAGTTTCTGGAGCTTATTTTATTCTGTGATTTTAATGAGTAATTTGTAACAAAATATTTTATTCAAAAATTTATTACCAAAAATTGACAAGAAATTATAAAATTTGCAAAATATATACAATAGTACTATTGTTAATATTTTTTAATAAATCATCATGAGTTCGATAAAATGAAAAGTCACATATCTGTAGCATTTGAGAGTTTCAATATTTTCTCAAGGTAAAAAATCGAAAAGCGTTTCATTTAAGAGAAAGCTTATGATAATGGATTTATTTCAGTGAATGTGCATAGCAATGTGATTTTAATGTTAGAGCTTATATTATATCACTTTTACTTCATTATAAAAATGTTATTTAAGTGACATACAAGATAATGTGAATAGTTAATTATACAAATTAAATCGAATATTGTTATATTAGTATAGAATTATTAGTAACTGCTTCACAAAAGCTAGTCGAATAATTTATATCCATGTATTCATTTAATAGCCCATCAACACAATCCATGAAATTATATTAAATGAGATATTTCTAATATAAAATGTAAAGCATAATGAACAAATTATGTTAATTGAGTTGTTGCCATAATCAAATTATAATAATTAAAGGAAGTTCAATGAATCAATGTTCATCCGAGCTTATCTCAGTTTTCCAACGCCTTGACTAAAAAATTACTTTACATCTCTTGTCCATGATAGCGTGAAGTACAGGCAGATTTCGAAGTTATGAGAAATAGCAATGGAAATTAATGATCATTAAATAAATTTCATCCTTTTGTTCCAGGATATGTATGCCCTGAAGCTACAGGAGGAACAGCTGCAGGAATTTTTCTGGTAAACATATCCAGAAGACCTGGAGGAGTGGGTTCTGCTGTAAGATGCATATCTGCTGATCCCGCAGGTCCAACACCTGGCTCATTTGTCTTGACTTGCGCCTTGAAGCCCTCAGCATTTGAGACATATTCTACGGTTCGGTAAAGTCCGTTGATGTTTGTATACCCGTAGCTTCCACTCACGCTGCCGCTGGAATCACCTTGCTCTCGACGAAACTGAGTGTTACCATAGTCGTCAGTTATTTGATAATTGAAGGAATAAGGCTTAGGAGGGCTCTAGAAAAATAAAAATAAAAATATATTTATTCGTATTTAGTTTAATAAATATGGAATTATTTTAACTTTGAGTGCAAGAATTTAATTTGAATATATTAATATAGAAGTTATTTTTTCATGAAGAAAGGACTTTTGACGACTTAAATAATAAATATGCTTAAGTATTTAACAAATATGCGAGCTATTCTAGTCGGAGCATACTATTCCATGCACAAAAGAGTGGTCCCTGTTTGCAAATACTAATTCCACGTGAGATTAAAATAGAGCAGTGGTTATCAATCTTTATTGCGCCCACCAGCGGCCGAGCGGTAAAGTCGCTGAACACTGGTAGTTCGGTCCGAGGTTCGAATCCCGCGAACGGGCTGGCTGCATGGGTGTTTTCGTGGTTTTCTCCATGTGTAACGTGTATACGAGCCAGTTTCCCTTAGAAAGTCCTCCATGAAGGCTCCCCTTAGGCAGATAGCCCTAGTGTGCTTTTCCATAATTAAATACACATACACACAATCTTTATTGCTCCATTCCCCATTCTCCAACTCTAACCATGTAGAATCTAACGGTCTTATGTGCTCGCATTGAGCTTATGTTCGCTACTGAACGAAAAAGAATAAATAGGTTGGCTTTGCCACTGTAGGCTTGCGCTACAGGCCACATGACTAAAGTAAGGTCGAAGAATTTTCACGTTTGCACAGTCAGAGAATTTAGTTTACTAGCCGACAACTGGTAGGGCTTCGGGATTCTATGGTGTATCTGGTTTTCCGACTTGGTTAAAATGAAGTTATTCAATGATTAATTCAACATATTGGGGTTACCTGAAATAAATGTCACTTTAAAAATTAGTAAACTGTCAATACGATTGAATTGCAGAGTGTTATCAAAAGACATTTCTTACAGGCAATTTCTTCCATTACACTTCAGGTATAAAATAAATATAAATCTGATTTCTTTTCATTTTCATTATAATGTTTTTCTGACTAATCTGGGTTGTCTGATATCAGAACAATCCCACGAAATTCATCCTGACAAAGAGGCAAGACTGAGTCGTTCGCAAGAGCCTTGGGCACCTTCTCAGTGCCACCCATCCCCAGTTTTAAAATAGAGCACTCCAGGGAAAAGGGTCCGAGAGTCTCTCACCTCTCTTTTTCTACCACTAATCTCTCGAGAGGCCTTTCGGCTCGCCGACTATTTTGAGTGCCCCCGTGTCGTGCAGGCACTATACATTTACAAACATCCATGCGTTCTACGGGATTCGAATCCGGGCCTTTTTGTGCAAGTTTTGATAAATATTTAATATAAAGTTTTGATAAATATTTAATATAAAGTTTTGATAAATATTTATTTGTTCTGGCCCGTCAGCTGTTTTCAGATCGTGCATGCAGCCCTCCATTAATCTCCTCCAACCCAACCTCCAACCTTTTTGTTCGTTTTTGTCTTGTCTTTTAGTAACACGTATGTCAACTAAGACTGAAGAAAAAAGTATTTTAAGCAATTTGATATGCAACAAAGGCCCGCATAAATTAAGGTTCATTACCAATGATAAATATACACTATATATATGTTTAATTATACATAAAATATTAGATTTAGTTAATATAAATAAGGAAATTTTTATGTTGATTTCTCTGTGCTTATGTGATGCTTAATGTTTAGATTCTTTAGCCGTTTTAGTTCATGAAAAATTTCATTTTTTAATCCTAATTAACAGGATCAGCTTGAACGCTGAAGAATCAAATCATAAGTAATATTTGGGTAAAGTATGTTTTATTTTAGATTATGAAAATATTCTATACTGCTTCAAAATTAATATTTTGATTCTTTAAACTTTACCATTCTATGGTAACAATGAGCTAAAACTCTCTCACTTAGAAACAGCCAAAAACACCACTGGCAAAAATACTTGAGTAAATAGTTAGCAACTGCATAAAACTAAGTGTTCCTTAACTAATAAATCATTTTAATCTAACACTTATCTTTTCTCCATTCATATTGATTTAGTTCAGCAGTTTATATATGAGCAAGTTTTCTGAAATTAATAGGGGTATAATGGTACAGAAAACTTAAAACGATAGCTGATTAGTAAAATTAAACAAGTCTTAAAGGCACAAAATTGATTTTGTGTTAACTTAAAGACGGTTATATATTTAATAACATTAAAGCCATTTTAAACTAAAACTTATGTTTAATGAAGATTTTTCCATGAATTTTATTCATTAGGAAGTACTAGTATATTTTTGAAAAAGCATTTAATTATTTCGACATCCACGTGTCTATTTGTTGGAAGAAAATACATTCCTATTCGTTATATATATTAAAACAAATTTAAAAAGCATGCTATCCTTACGTGTGGATCACCATATTCTCCTATATTACTTCCGTGACCTCCGGCTTGACCAGCGGCTGAAACACTACTTATCATTGCAGCAAAAAGAAAAAAGATCTGCAGATAAACAACCATTAAAAGAAATTATTAAAAGAGAACATTTGAAGAACTGTAATGAAACTGAATTATTTATTTTTAAATTTAAATGTTGAGAAAAATTTAATGTTCATTATAAAAAACACACATTAAAAAAGTATTCTGGTTTTAATGAAATGTTTAGCAGTATTTACTAAGATAAGATTAGTCATTTCTTTAATAAATTCATTTTTAAAGGAGAAAAGAAAACAAATCGTGCAGTTACTTAATGACGTGATTTTTTTAAAACTAACACATATTATAGTTGCTTTTGAATATATAAGAGTACGTCTTCAAAAGCTCTTTTTTAGAAATATATATAAACGCTACTGAAGAGTTTTCTTTTTTAAAGTGTGAAAGCCATTGACACCTTTCGACTTAGTTTAATAAGTGTATTTAAAAACTTTTTTTAATACAGGAAGCTACTAAAAATTCAATATGTGTTCTTAATACACAGTTATTCTTTCCATACATAATATACCCATAGAATAATCTTAGCAGATAGACTGCGTGAATGCAAAGGCTTGAAAATCAGCTAGTTGGCTTGACTGCGGAGTTCACCTGATAAAATCATTATTCAGGTAACTTTACATGATTAAAATTACTTTCATCTTAAAAGACATAATATTTCCGAAAATTTGCACAATAAATAAATTCATTTCGCCTTTAGAATCTTTAATAATTTTATACTTTTTCAGTTAGTAAGCAAACGCTAATCTTCTATAACGGAAATAGAACATAAATTTTGATAATTGATCTATTAATTTTACCTTCATTCTCTGGAAATATATTTTAGTCGGGAAAAGGTCAAGCTTCAAAGTATGAGAAATGAAAAATATCATGCAATGTAACTTAACAAAATAAAAGGCAATATAACACTCAAATCACTTGAGGTAAACCTCCAAATTGTTAATTAAAAGTGACAACGCTTGCTTTTAAAACCACTATTCTGTAAATCAACCGCTTTATTAAATATAAGTTACCAGAAAGCTATTATTTCTCTTTGTACAATATTTACACAGTAACACTTAATGGAGATTAATTTTATTTTTAATGCAGACTAAAATCCGATCGGTGCTTATACGAAGGAATAGTAAAGCAAGAAAACAACATAGTCCATTAAAAACTTACGCCTTTTAAGTTCATGATTTAGCAGGTAAACTACTCAGTAGTGTTAGAGGATTAAGATTTTAAAGTGAGTCGCTATATGGAGAAAATTTCCTTTTATATCTGAATAACTCTGGTAAAGCTACGACTAACTGAGATCGATAAGAAATAAGATAAATAAACTTTGGCTATATTCAAAATATCATCTCTCAATCGATTGATGTAGTTAGTTAACGAATTAAGACGTTTTTGTACCTTTGCTAATTGCAGGAACTTGAAAGATAGGCTGATAACTTTCCAGAAGTGCATGCATTGATAACTTCCTTTCAGTATCTATTGGTTCGATAATCAAACAATTGAAGAATGAAGTTCCCAGTGTTGAACAATCTAAAAGCGATGAAAGTGTGAATTAAAAAATACAGTGGTCTGGCTTTATAAGTAAATAAATAGTCTAGACAGCATTTGAGTAAAAAAGTGGGTTGGTTTTGAAAGAACACAAAAATGAGAAAAGAAAGCTTCTAAGTCGAACTTCCGGAAGCTTTTGTTTAGATGTGGGAAAATTTGTTTTATTAAAATTTTCATTGTGGAAAGGTAAGTATTCATGTGAGGCGAAAGAACGGAAATGAGACCTATTGTTCAGATTAATAACAGTCACGAAAACTCATTCAAGTTTCTTTAATTAATTATAAAACTTCAGAACTCATTTATCTTTTCCTTCCCTGGATGTGATATTTCTGACATATTTGTATAGCAAAATATCAGCGAAGCTTTTTGACTTTGAATAGACCTACAGTCTATTCCACAGTTTTTTAACTATTCCACAGTTTTTTAACAAAATGCTGCCTTGAGAAAAAGCATTTAAAGGCTATCAAATTTAATTAGAATTTGGGCCATGCTCCGCTTTAATGACGGCGGTTATAAAATACACAGGAACGGCATTTGTAAAAATATTTTTGTATATTTTATTACCATGTAAAGACCGATAGCTCTTATTTGTCAATAAAATACAAGAGATCTTCTAATATATGTGCGTGCAATGTGACAGGCACATAAATTTTGCAAATGTATTTTGCAAAATCTTCTATAGTATAGGTGCCCTTGATACCTATGCTTATGAAAAAAATACCACATATTAGGGCTTAATTGATTATGCTTATTTTTTTACTTCAAACGCTAGAGAAATATCTATCATAAGAAGACACATTTCATTTACATGATTTTTCTGTATTTATAATACACATAGAAAACTGGACCGTGTGAAATTATAGGTATTGAGCGCATTCGCTTCCTCACTTTGTGTCCCATTAATTGGGCAGTTTAAAATCGGTAATCTTAAAAATGCAATCTGATTCACGGTTTAAAATAAAAATATAATGTTGCGTGCGTACGGGTTCGTTATGAAATGAATGCACAAGTTCGATGAAAAATGAACAAAATTTATTATTATCACAACAAAAATGCTTAAATTTCCTCAGATGTTCGTGCAGTATTACAATATCTCACAGTAGTTATCTTTTAACTACTCAAACGTTCAAGAGAACTTAATTCAAAACAGTTAAAGAAAGATAATCCGCGAATTCGCTACAGTCAACAAGAGCAGTTTTCTAAGCAAACTCTTAAAACAACGACAAACTAACTACAATAACGAATTCGAAATCGAAATCGAGTCAATGGCTAGGCGGCAATTAGTAGCCAACCGCTACTTTAACCGTCTCTGTTGGTAAATTGCCCTAAGGCGTTGGTACTTAAGTTTTTAATTGAGGCGATTTACGCCGCGCCAACTAGGCGAAACTTGTCAAATTTTGTGAAATGTAGGTGTAGTAAGGGAGATGATTGGCAGGAGCCTGTCACGTGGGTGGTCACCAGCTTACGCGTACAATGAGAAATATTGGAAATATTAATAATTATCAAGTTTTGAAACAGGTTATCTAGATTGGAATAATTAAACTAATATCGCGATCTAAATGAAGACAAATGGCACAACTAAGTGCAACAGATTAGCTAAACAAAATATTCAAATTCATCCTTTCTGTAAAACACTGATTGGACAGTGGTAGTCACTTGGGAGTCACCCTCCCGTGAACTGTCCACAGCCCAATGCATCTTGAAATAGTAGATATCACAATTCAGCGAAGTCTTGGTCTGAGAAATTAAACACTAAAAGTTCTTGTACAACACTGAGGCACACGAGTTACTGTAAATATACACTATGTACATATAGGGACGGCGGTATTTGAGCGAAGTGGCAATAACGAATTCAGAGGCTTTCCTCCTTTTATAAGATTTTAAAACGCGCGCGAGAATTTTCTGGAATTTTCTCGAAATCAAAAGGAGATATTTATATAAATGCACGCGCTTTTGTATTTTCAATTTTCCGGCTTAGCTTTCTTTTAATATTCGTCACGCGCTGCACTGCACAGGGAATAAAACAATTTAATTTATAATTCATCTAACATTAGCTATTTAAATACATTTTAAATACAACTAACATTAGCTATTTAAATACATTTTAAATACAACTAACATTAGCTATTTCAATCAGCATTTATACAAATAAAAAAGTTTTTTTTTTAAATTTAAATTAATACTCTGGAACATATCAATTTTATCATATTTACAAATTAACGTTTTGCTACGTAAAGACATAATCTCTTACATACCAGTAATTAGACAATTTTCATTATTTTCTAAAAATTGTAATTTTCACATTAATGATAAAAAGGTTCCTAAATCACATCATATTCTCTGCAGGCAGGCATACTAGAATTTTACACATTAATAAATAAAAAAATCTAATTTTTCACAATGAAAAAAAATATTATAAAAAGATAAATACTATAAATTTGGAACACTAAGCAATGCTTCACGTGCACACACACACACATATTATCAAAGAACTCATATTATCAAGTGCAATTACGATAACAAACACTGTAAGGATCTTAAGTTTTACTAACGTTTATTTTTTTTTAAATCTTTACTATCACTTCTTATTTTCTACTTCCGGCCAGAATTAAAAGCTTTAACTTATTTATGCAAATTTGTCTTGCGAACGCCAAGTACTTAAGTTGTGACTTTTTGCCAAGCAAGAGAGAGGAAGGAGCTATTAGAAGCAGGCCGCTTGCCATAGTAGTTATACTCGGTTGCTGGTTGCCTTCAAGGCCAGAGGTTTAATCCTCTTGATAATTTTAAACGTATCGTAGTGTTAGCAGTTCTCTGTACTACATACGGCTTTTTTGTTAATATACGGCCAATCTTGGAGTTAGGCACTTGTTTATTAATCCAAAGTTAGTTTAGTTAGAGTTTAGTTAATATTTTTATATTCTTACGTTCAGACCACAAGTGGTTGGTCTCTGTATTCCGAAGTTCCGGAAATCATTGTAAAGAGAGAAAAATAAAGGGTTTCGTATACCCTTCCTGTGTGTATTGTCTACTTCCCAAATTTATTGAACATAGCTTTAGTAAGCTCCCTGTTCCGAGTCAGGACATTTAATGTTCCCAAAGCAAGTAAAGAGGAACACAGAACCTGATAGTGGCGCCCGACGAAGAAGAATAACCATGGCCGAGTTTCAAGAAGAACCTGTGCTGCCTGCAGAAGCGGCTCAGAATCCAGAAATGCCAGCTGCCGCCCTGGAAGGATTTAGTTACATCGTCCAGACCATGCGCGCATCGATGAAACCAGAAGCAACATTTAATGGAAACTCACCGGTAACCAGTTTTTTTTGGAAAAATTGGATGACCACTTCATGCTGTATCCGTGCATGAGTTCCAGAAAGTCACACCTTAGCTACCAGCGCTTTGAGGGGCCAAGCGCTTAATTGGTTCAAATGTATAGGCAGAAGTCTCTTGGGTCAAGCGGGAAGTCCCACCTATACTTACGAAAATTTCAAGACTGCCTTAGTAAAAGCCTTCCCTGTCGTAAGAGATCGTGCAAGATTAGAAGCGGAACTTTTCAGCATATACCAGAAACGAATTGAAAATCTCTCAAGCTTTATTTTAAGAAAAATTCACGTCTTCAAACTCTTGTATGGAAACCGTCCGGATCCTGAGATAATTCAAGTGATTTTGCCGAGGTTACTTCCCCAAGTACAAGACTTTATTGAATTAAGGAATCCGACTACACTGGAAAAGTTATTTGAGCTAGCAATCCAGTTTGAAAGTAGAAGAACGGCGGACATTGAAAGAAGACGCCAGTATGAGCAACAAAGCCAATTTGGTGCGCCAAGACCACAGCAAAGTCAAGAACACGGCTACGGAAGGAAAGCGAATCAGTGGGCAAGGAAACCAGAGCATCCAAAAACAACCGGCGAACGTCGACAGTTCAATAGTAAGCCAGGAAAAAAGTCTGAAGGCCAGTGGAAAAAGAAGGAAAGGCATGGAAAGGAAGAACAAGATTTAAACTAAAACGGATTTCTGCTGACGGGAGGGTGCGGAAATCCGAAGGCCAAGAAAACCCCTCTTCCTTCAAGTTAAATACAGTGATGGTGAAAAATTTGACTCTTCCAAAGATTGAAGTGTTGGTGAATAACATCCCAGCCACCGCACTCCTGGATACAGGCGCGCAGTGTTCCTGTGTGGCAGAAGATTTTTTTAGGAAGTATTTCCGTAAATACCGCATATATAATTCGGATAATACGACAGTGTTAGCTGCGCAGGGAGAAAGATGCAAGTGCATAGGTAAATTACCGCTATACGTTCGTATCAAGGACGAGCAAGTAAAGATTATGTTTTTTTATCGTAAAGAATTTGCAAGCACATGTCATCTTAGGGATAGATTTTCTTTCAGAGGCAGAAGCAACGCTGGATTTTAACGAAGCGTCCCTTAAGCTGACGATGAAACCAGTTCGAGAAGAAAAAAAACAGAACCACCAACGTTAAACCTCGACCACCTGCCTAAGGAAGAGCAACAAAAAATTCGACAAGTGGTAAGTGAATTTGCTTCGTTATTTAGTGATATTCCAGGATTTACTCAAGTTACTAACCATAGTATCGACACCGGAGATTCACTGCCAGTTCGCCACAAACCATACCGGTATGATAAGAATAAAGAAAAAATTATAGAGTGGCACATTAGAGATATGTTACGTAAAAAGATCATAACGCCCATCTCAAGTAGTTATGCTAGCCCGGTTGTGTTATGTAAGAAAAATAATGACTATCCGGTAACACATCCAAAAAGGTGGCGTTTTGCAATTGACTATCGTAAATTAAACTCCATGACTAAATATCCGGTATATCCGTTACCTATTATCGAAGAAATTCTAAGGAACATAACTTCTACCAAATACATGACTACTTTAGACTTAACGACTGGTTATTTTCAAATAGGGTTAGACCGGAAGATGTGCCTAAGACTGCTTTTATAACCAAGTCTGGCACTTATGCATTCCTGCGTATGCCGTTTGGCCTTTCAGGGGCACCGGCAACATTTCAGCGATGTATGGACATTGTGCTAAGGCCTGTTCTTGGAAAGTCCACATTTATCTATTTAGACGATATCATTATTACTAGTGATAATCTGGACCAACATGTACAGGATTTAAGACAGGTGTTTTCATTATTAAAATGAGGCCGGTCTAAAAGTTAATGTCGAAAAGTGCAAATTTGCAGCCCCTGAATTAAAATACTTAGGTTACAAAATATCTCAGAAAGGAATCGAGACAGACGAATCAAAAATAATCGCTGTGCAAAAGTATCCGCCGCCAAATACGGCGAAGAAGCTCTCTTCTTTTCTAGGACTTTGTTCATATTATAGGTCCTTTATAAAAGATTTTGCAGCTATTGCTGAACCATTGTTAAAATTAAAAAGGAAAAAGGCAAGATTCTCGTGGACGGCCGAAGCCAATAGTGCTTTCGAAAAATTAAAGCAAGCATTAACGCAAGCCCCTGTTTTGAAATTTCCTGAAAATGATGAGAATTTAGAAATTTCAGCGGATGCTTCGGATTATGCGGTAGGAGCGGTACTTTCGCAAAATCAGCAGCCCGTGGCATTTTTTAGTCGAACTTTAAATCAAACACAAAGAAATTATTCCGCGACTGAGAGAGAGGCACTTGCAGTTCTGTTAGCAGTGCAAAAGTTCCGAGTCTATTTTGGAAGGCGCCAATAACAGTGTATTCTGATCATGCGGCGGTAACTAGATTGTACTCAGGGAAAAACTTATCCCCAAGGTTAATAAGATGGGCCCTCAAGTTACAAGAGTATAATCTTGTAATCAAGCACACCCCCGGAAAGGAAAATATCGTAGCAGATGCCCTATCCAGAATAAAAATAGATGAAGAAGGTGGCAATGCTCACAGCATGTACAATAAATTCCTGAGAAACTGTAATAACCGAACTGGGTAAGGATCCTGAATTTAAAAACATTTATGAGTATTTAAAGGATCCTGAAAATTTTAGCCACCAGATATTGTGGCGATAAGAAATAGGGCGGCCCATTACGAACTAATAGATGGTCTATTATTTTATACAAAAACTACAAATTCCAACAACGAATTTCGACCTGTTATCCCAGCTAGTCTTAGATTAAATATCCTGCAGGAGTTACACGACAGCCCTTTAGCTTCTCATGCTGGTATTCGAAAAACCATCCAACGCGTACGCGAAGCAGTTTTATTTTCCTGAGCTGCAAAAGTTAACAAGGGCGTATGTCCAGTCCTGCCCAACATGTCAAGCAGTTAATTATATTAATTTCCGCCCGGCCGGGTTTCTAAATAGCATTAAATCCGAATTTCCAAATGAAATAATTGGCATCGATTTATTGGGCCCTTTCCCAAAAAGTCAGTTAAATAAAAGTCGGTATCTCCTTGTTATGGTTGATCATTTTAGTAAGTGGACCGAAATTGTTCCCTTAAAACGAGCCTCCGCGAAATTAGTTACTGATTCTATTTTAAATAAATATATTTTAAAATACGGGGCGCCCCTAAAAGTTATATCGGATAATGGTCCTCAATTTGTAATATATTTGAAGACATGTGCCAAAAACTGGGCATACGTCATTTAAAAATGGTCCCGTATCGGCCGCAATCAAATATAGCGGAACGGGTCAATAGAAATATAGTGAAAATTATCCGTAGTTATGTTAAAAATTTTCATAAAAGCTGCGATAACTATGTCAATGAGTTAGCTTTCGCCCTTAGGACCGTAAAACATGATAGAACGGGCAAAACTCATGCTGAGTTATTTTTAGGCAGAAAGATTATAACGCCGTTAGATAAATTATTTTATGTTCAACAAAGAGCCCCAGAATTTAAAATGGGCGATATAGAAAAATTAATTAAAGAAGCAAAAAGGAACACTGAAGTAGCACAGAGAAAACAGAAACTTTATTATGATATGAAACGACGGGGAGTAACTTATAAAGTAGGAGATGAAGTGTTAAAAATTAAGCATTCTGTTACATCTAAACGCCGGGCTATCAGCGCCACCACATCTAAACTCCGAACTATCAGCACCATTACATCTAAACTCGAGAATAATCCTACGTAAGAATGTAGTTAGAACTCTGAATCCGAACTTGAATGACTGTTAGCTGGAGAGCGCGTAATTTCATGTAATCTAATAATTGTATATAACTGTATCTAAATATAATATCTTTATTTATACAGAAGTGTCAGTTTTTATGCAAAAGCTTGGAATTATTTAGATATTTCATCGAATAAGAATTAGAATGGAACAAGCTCGGCTCCCGGGTGAAAGAAAAGGTAAGAGATATTTCTTTTTACCTTTTAGAATTCTATTGAGAGATACAACAAATTTTGGCATCCCTGCCTGGGACGCCCGAGCTAAAGAATAAGAATTTAAATTAGACAATAAAGATTAAGAATACAATTATTGATTACTTTTTGAATTTTTTTGGAACTGTTAAGAACATGTCTGAAGAGATCTTAAATAAGTTAAAAAAGAAGCGCGCAGCTCTCCGAACATCAGTAACGAAATCGCTTAAAGATTTGGAATCGCAGCTTTCGGAAATTGATCCGAAAATTCATGATTTGGAAGAAAAATTTAGAAATATTAAAGAATAATTTCGAATCGCTTAAAAGTGTCGATACAGAATTAGAACCTCTTTTTAAAGTCGAAGAATTTGATGCTGAATTCCAAAAATCTGAAGAATATCGTCAAAAGGTCGTTAAATGCAGTTTCCGTACCTCCAAAAGAATCGACGAATTAAAACGCAAATCTACTGAAACGGTAGTAAATAACCAGTTCAGTATTTACTGACAGTTCAGTACTGACAGTCAAAAGCGAAACCAAAACATAACGAGTCTGTTCGAATTAAATTACCTAAGTTAACTTTAACGAAATTCTACTACGGAGATATAAACAACTGGCTAACCTTTTGGAACAGTTTCGAGTCTGCCATTCATAAAAATGATTCATTAGATAAAATAGACAAATTTAATTATTTGAAAGCTCATTTAGGTGGTTCTGCTTTAAATACAGTCGAAGGATTACCGATTACTGCTGCTAATTACGATTCCGCAATTGATCTTCTAAAAGAAAGATTTGCGAAAACAGATGTGCTCATTTACACTCACATAAATAACATTTTGAACACTAAACCGTTGAAAATCTCGAATGATGTTCGCGCCTTTAGAAAATTTTATGATAATATTTCTATCGAATTAAGATGTTTAGAAAATTTGGGTCAGTCTCTCGAGAATTTATCAAGTGTGTTATGTCCAATAATTCTGAAATCACTTCCCCCAAGATATTTTGCTGGAGATTAACAGAATGAGTAATGGAAGTGCGTATTGTAATATTAAAAGCCTGTGCTTGATTATAGCTCAATGTTTAGATTCACGCGAAAGGGCGGAAGTCATAAATAAGAATTCAGAGCATTCGACAGCGAATAGTGGGCGCCGTCAGTCTGCGTATGCAGTCCAGAAAATAAACACTCGTCATTTCAGCGATGGAAAGAGCAATAAATTAGAAACGAAAGCTTCTTCTGCTTCTGATTTAGTGTCCACGGGTATTAAAGAAAAATTGATTAAGGCATGTGTTTTTTTGCGGAGATTTTTCCCATTCAAGCCATAAATGTCCTATTGCCCAGAAACTAACAAATGACGAAAAGGTTGAAATACTACGCAAAAATGGCACTTGTTTTAGGTGTTTACAAAATAAGGGTCACATCAGCAAATTTTGTGATTCTAACATTTTTTTGCTCCCATTGTCACTCTAAGCATTCTACGATTATGTGTAACAGAATTAATTCCGAGAGTAAAAAAAGGGAACGATCAAAACTGTCCAGGAAGTTGAAAATAAAGTACTTTCGAATCAAAGCAACCGTTCTGAAGTTTATTTACAAACTTTGGTCGTAGGGGTAGCTGGGAAAACCTTAAAGGGTTATTTAAGATTGCTAATAGACACCGGAAGTCAGAACACGTACATAAGTCAATATGCTGCTAAAACGTTGAAATTAGAAAAGATAGGAACTGAAAGAATTAAACATGGGTTATTTGGGGGTGTAGAAGTTTTCGGAAGATCATAATCGTTATCAAATAGATTTAACTAGTTTAGATGGAAAGTACAGGTGTAAAATCGAAGCACTAGACCAGAGGAAAATTTGTTCGTCACTACCTAAGATCAAAGACGAAAAGTTAATTAAAGTAATGGAAAAAAGGGGAATCCTTATCAACGACAATCATGCGAATGGAAATCTCTGTCTGTTTCAAGAAAATCCGGAAGAGATTCATATGCTGTTAGGAGCGGACACCGCAGCACAATTGTTCACTGAAAGAATTGAACATTTTGCGGGGGATTACGTAGCCTTTGAGACCAAGTTAGGCTGGACTTTAATGGGCAAGATTAAAGAGAATGCGAATACGTCGAGTTCCCTGTCCGTTCTTTCTTTATCCTTACATGTTTCCGATACAAATTTGTCCAATCTTTGGCGTTTAGACACCTTGGGGATTTCAAGTGAGGAAAACAAAACGAAAAGTGTCTTGGAAGAAGAAACTCGAAAACATTTCTTAAAAAGTGTAAAACGAGATAGCTCAGGGAGATATGAAGTAACCTTACCCTTTATTTTAGATAAATCCGTCTTATCCAGTAACCGTACTATGGCAGAAAGACACCTCGTCAAAACCGAAAGTAAACTAATTAACACACGCAGAAGAAAAGATTACGAAGAAATATTTGATGAGTGGGAAGCGAAGGACATTATTGAGGTAGTAACTGAGGAAAAGGAGGAAGGAGTGCACTACTTGTCACACAGACCTGTAAGAGTCTAGTGAAACTACAAAGATACGGCCTGTTTTCAATGCATCTGCACGTTCTAAGAATTCACCCTCTCTCAATGATTGTTTGAGTAAAGGACCAAATTTAATAGAAATTATTCCACGTATATTGAATCGTTTTCGAAAATACCGCATAGGAGTGTCATCTGATATCGAAAAGGCCTTTTGTCAAATCAAAATAGCAGAAAAGGATAGAGATTTTTTTAAGGTTTCTATGGTTCGATAATCAACATAAGTTTAAAATTTACAGACATAACCGAGTTGTTTTTGGACTCACATCAAGTCCGTTTCTGCTAGCCGCTACACTTAGTCACCTTTTTTGACTACAGTCCCAGAAAAGTTTGTAGAAACTTCTAATATTTTGAAGGATTCATTTTACCTCGATAATTCGTTAATTAGCTTAAATCAAGTAGATGAAGCCGAAAATTTCGTTCAAGAAGCAAGATTGATTTTGGCTTCAGGGCATTTCAATTTGAGATGTTGGCGATCAAATTTTCGCATTGACATGATCGATGAGATAGAGAGCAAGACGAAAGTTGTCCCAGTATTAGGATTAGTATGGGATTTAGAAAAAGATAGTTTGAGTTGCAAGATCGAAGAAACATTTAACTTGAGGGAACCTATTACCAAAAGAAAAGTTTTGTCAATTACCCAGAAAATTTTTGATCCCATTGGCTTTACTGCACCGATAACTGTAATTCCTAAGCTAATTTTGCAAGAAACATGGAACCAGAAGATTAAGTGGGATGAAGATCTTCCTCTTCCCCTAAGTGAGCAGTTTGGGACTTGGTTGAACCAATTGCCTCTGCTATCTCAGATTGAAATTCCTCGTTGGTTAAATATTGATTACGAAAACGAAGATACCGTAGTGCTCCACGTTTTTTCGGATGCTAGTAAAAGAGCCTATGCCACATGTGCATTTTTAAGAGCTGAAACCATCGAAGGTGTAAAGGTTCAGTTAGTAAGCGCGAGAAGTCGAATAGCCCCTATTAAGGAACTTACGATTCCACGGCTTGAACTTCTTTCCTGTCTGATAGGTGCCAGGCTTGCCAAAACAATTCTATCAGATTTGAAACTTAAGAATTGTAGAACAGTGTTCTGGAGTGATTCTTCTACAGCTTTGGGGTGGATAAGAAGGGATCAAGCATGGGGTACGTTTGTTCACAATCGAGTACAAGAAATAAGATCGCTTACCAGAATATCTGACTGGAGGCATGTACCTGGAAGTTTAAACCCAGCGGATCTCCCATCGAGAGGATGTACTATTGAGCAATTACAGAAATCGGCATGGTGGGAGGGCCCATCGTGGCTTTACTTACCAGAAGACGAGTGGCCCCATGTAGAAGAAAAGCCTGATGAAGGAACTTATAAACAAGGAAAAAAGGAAAACGATTCTG